GAAGGGGACCCAGATATCTGGGGGGGACCCAGGTGTCCAGGGGGACCCAAGCAGCTGGGGGGGGACACCCAGGCATCCGGGGGGGGACCCAGGCATCTGGGGGACCCAGTCACCCTAGAAGGGGACCCAGATATCTGGGGGGGACCCAGGTGTCCAGGGGGACCCAAGCAGCTGGGGGGGGACACCCAGGCATCCGGGGGGGGACCCAGGCATCTGGGGGACCCAGTCACCCTAGAAGGGGACCCAGGTACCTGGGGGGGACCCAAGCACCTGGGGGGGGACGACACCCAGGCATCTGGGGGGGGACCCAGGCATCTGGGGGACCCAGTCACCCTAGAAGGGGACCCAGATATCTGGGGGGGACCCAGGTGTCCAGGGGGACCCAAGCAGCTGGGGGGGGACACCCAGGCATCCGGGGGGGGACCCAGGCATCTGGGGGACCCAGTCACCCTAGAAGGGGACCCAGATATCTGGGGGGGACCCAGGTGTCCAGGGGGACCCAAGCAGCTGGGGGGGGACACCCAGGCATCCTGGGGGGGACCCAGGCATCTGGGGGACCCAGTCACCCTAGAAGGGGACCCAGGTATCTGGGGGGGACCCAGGCACCTAAGGGTAGCATGACCCCACCACCCTCATACAGGGACCCAGGTGTCCGGGGGGGACCCAAGCACCTGGGGGGGGACGACACCCAGGCATCTGGGGGACCCAGTCACCCTAGAAGGGGACCCAGGTATCTGGGGGGGACCCAGGTGTCTGGGGGGGACCCAAGCACCTGGGGGGGGACGACACCCAGGCATCTGGGGGGGTACCCAGGCATCTGGGGGACCCAGGTATCTGGGGGGGACCCAGGCATCTGGGGGGGACGACCCAGTCACCCTAGAAGGGGACCCAGGTACCTGGGGGGGACCCATGTGTCCGGGGGGGACACAAGCATCTGGGGGGGGACGACACCCAGGCATCTGGGGGGGTACCCAGGCATCTGGGGGGGGACCCAGGCATCTGGGGGACCCAGGTATCTGGGGGGGACCCAGGCACCTGGGGGGGACCCAAGCACCTGGGGGGGGACGACACCCAGGCATCTGGGGGGGACGACCCAGTCACCCTAGAAGGGGACCCAGGTATCTGGGGGGGACCCAGGTATCTGGGGGGGACCCAGGCACCTAAGGGTAGCATGACCCCACCACCCTCATACAGGGACCCAGGTGTCCGGGGGGGACCCAAGCCCCTGGGGGGGGACGACACCCAGGCATCTGGGGGACCCAGTCACCCTAGAAGGGGACCCAGGTATCTGGGGGGGACCCAGGCACCTGGGGGGGACCCAAGCACCTGGGGGGGGACGACACCCAGGCATCTGGGGGACCCAGTCACCCTAGAAGGGGACCCAGGCACCTGGGGGGGACCCAAGCACCTGGGGGGGGACGACACCCAGGCATCTGGGGGACCCAGTCACCCTAGAAGGGGACCCAGGCACCTGGGGGGGACCCAAGCACCTGGGGGGGGACGACACCCAGGCATCTGGGGGACCCAGTCACCCTAGAAGGGGACCCAGGCACCTGGGGGGGACCCAAGCACCTGGGGGGGGACGACACCCAGGCATCTGGGGGGGGACCCAGGCATCTGGGGGACCCAGGTATCTGGGGGGGACCCAGGTATCTGGGGGGGACCCAGGCATCTGGGGGGGGACCCAGGCATCTGGGGGGGTACCCAGGCATCTGGGGGGGACGACCCAGTCACCCTAGAAGGGGACCCAGGTACCTGGGGGGGACCCAAGCACCTGGGGGGGGACGACACCCAGGCATCTGGGGGACCCAGTCACCCTAGAAGGGGACCCAGGTATCTGGGGGGGACCCAGGCACCTAAGGGTAGCATGACCCCACCACCCTCATACAGGGACCCGCGGGGGCGGGGGGGGCCCCCAGGCCCCGGGGGGGGGACGACACCCAGGCATCTGGGGGACCCAGGTATCTGGGGGGGACCCAGGCATCTGGGGGACCCAGGTATCTGGGGGGGACCCAGGTATCTGGGGGGGACCCAGGCACCTAAGGGTAGCATGACCCCACCACCCTCATACAGGGACCCGCGGGGGCGGGGGGGGCCCCCAGGCCCCGGGGGGGGGACGACACCCAGGCATCTGGGGGACCCAGGTATCTGGGGGGGACCCAGGCATCTGGGGGGGTACCCAGGCATCTGGGGGGGTACCCAGGCATCTGGGGGGGTACCCAGGCATCTGGGGGACCCAGGTATCTGGGGGGGACCCAGGCATCTGGGGGACCCAGTCACCCTAGAAGGGGACCCAGGTATCTGGGGGGGACCCAGGTATCTGGGGGGGACCCAGGCATCTGGGGGACCCAGTCACCCTAGAAGGGGACCCAGGCACCTGGGGGGGACCCAAGCACCTGGGGGGGGACGACACCCAGGCATCTGGGGGGGGACCCAGGCATCTGGGGGGGGACCCAGGCATCTGGGGGACCCAGTCACCCTAGAAGGGGACCCAGGTACCTGGGGGGGACCCAGGTATCTGGGGGGGACCCAGGTATCTGGGGGGGACCCAGGCATCTGGGGGGGTACCCAGGCATCTGGGGGGGGACCCAGGCATCTGGGGGGGACGACCCAGTCACCCTAGAAGGGGACCCAGGCACCTGGGGGGGACCCAAGCACCTGGGGGGGGACGACACCCAGGCATCTGGGGGGGACGACCCAGTCACCCTAGAAGGGGACCCAGGTATCTGGGGGGGACCCAGGTGTCTGGGGGGGACCCAAGCACCTGGGGGGGGACGACACCCAGGCATCTGGGGGGGGACCCAGGCATCTGGGGGGGGACCCAGGCATCTGGGGGACCCAGGTATCTGGGGGGGACCCAGGCACCTGGGGGGGACCCAAGCACCTGGGGGGGGACGACACCCAGGCATCTGGGGGACCCAGGTATCTGGGGGGGACCCAGGTGTCTGGGGGGGACCCAAGCACCTGGGGGGGGACGACACCCAGGCATCTGGGGGACCCAGGTATCTGGGGGGGACCCAGGCATCTGGGGGACCCAGTCACCCTAGAAGGGGACCCAGGTATCTGGGGGGGACCCAGGCACCTGGGGGGGACCCAAGCACCTGGGGGGGGACGACACCCAGGCATCTGGGGGGGGACCCAGGCATCTGGGGGACCCAGTCACCCTAGAAGGGGACCCAGGTATCTGGGGGGGACCCAGGCATCTGGGGGACCCAGGTATCTGGGGGGGACCCAGGTGTCTGGGGGGGACCCAAGCACCTGGGGGGGGACGACACCCAGGCATCTGGGGGGGGACCCAGGCATCTGGGGGACCCAGTCACCCTAGAAGGGGACCCAGGTACCTGGGGGGGACCCA